AGCAGGAGTTTTCAGGTTCAGTTTTGGGCTTAGGTGGCTAAACATCACTTAAATCCCACCACACATGCTTAAATCCCTTTTTGTCCCTTCCCTACCAGTGTGACAGACACAATATAAGAGACTCTTCTAGGAGAAATATTGACCTTGTCATGCTGAAGCTTAACAATTTACCACTAGCCTACTATTCAAGATGATTAACTGACATTCAATGATGTTTTAACGCACCATGGCAGAATGAAATGGCACTGGGAGTTTGTTCGATTTTCTGAACACACACTTTCCTCAATTTAGAGCTTGGTGTAGTTGGTGAAATGCCAAGTTCAGCTGTTATCCATGGGCTTTCCTGCACTCAAGAATGGCAGTGTAAAAGGGAACACATCTGTAGAAAAATACTTTTACCTACCGGATGCCAACCTATGCCTTACACAGGCATCCTGATTTTCTGAAATTACTACTACATAACATACTTTTGATTAGCCTTGAAGTTGCCAGTGCACACGTGACAAACAGGAACATATCTATAATTCTTTTATGCATATTGCATTTGTTTATAACACATTATTTGTTAAAGAGGTACATCCAAAGGGGATTTAAAGGAAACAAAGCAGGAAAAGCAAAGGAAAGGCTAAGATAAGGAGCACCCCAACATAAACTCAGAGCATATCAGCCAAGTTTATAGTCATGAAGAGGCAATACCTTAGTCCCAAACTGCTTGACATAAATAGTTGTTTTGCCAATGCTGGAAAGGACAGATGCAAGGGAACACTAAACTATTGCAGGTTTCCAGCATGAAAGGACTTGAAGGGCCCAATACAGACAGGCTTGTGGCATTTACATGGTTGGGAAACAGGGTCTGACTTCTTAAAGCTCAGTTCCCAAAGGGCTGAACAGCACCAGTCTACCCTGTAGCAGTAAGCCAGGACAGACACCAGGAGGGTAGACTCAAGAGGGGGTGAGGAGAGTCCAGGAAAACAGGATATTTTAGCAAAAAATATTTTCAGATCAGGTGCCAAATAAACAAGACTGTATATTCTGCTTTAGAATTTGGCTCTTCTCAAGAGTTTTACGTTCTGCTCTCATCTTTGTAAGAAAGCTATGAAGTCAACATCCACATACCCATATTCAAACTTCAGTTATGTAACACAAGAGTATTACATTCAAAACTATTCTCGTACACACCAGCAAAAATACAGTCAAATAATGTCACAGATATCTTGAAACTGAAGGGAATATGAAACATCCATACTTTATCTTAACTCGTGGCTTGCTTGGGATTTACAGCCAGGTTCCCTCATGTTGTGCTACCACTACCAGGAAGCAAAGGTCAACTTTTATGACTAGCTTTGGGACTAATAGCTTGGTTTGTTTGTTTTTGTTGTTTAAAACAAAAGCAATGAATTGCAATATTTAACAGACGGGGCCATTTAAGTTTAGTTTTAGACGACCAATGAGATTCAAGTCTGACTTTCTATTTGTTATAAGCTTTTCTCTGCATGTATTGTAAGAAAAAGCTGTACATGGTACGAAGGAACAGGAGAAGCGCTGGTGATGCATTTGCTAACATTCCTTTCAATGTGGAGCAGCTTCTCCATTCTCCATTATTTGTTCATTTTTTTAAATTTGCTGTTCAAAACCATTCAGGGAATACTTTGGTTTGTTTGTCTGCACTGGTTTCTTCTCATCAATGTTTGAGAAACAGTTTGCATGAATACCTGCATTTATGTGAAAATGCTACTGTTTCTACTGCAGCAAGAGTACTCCCTATTCATTTTTCTCCAATTTTAAAGTTTTAGTCACCTCATCAAACCTCTAAAGCTAAGTTTATTGAATAATTTATTTACAATAAATAGTTCTTGCATCTTTTATACTAGGCTACTTTTCATGAGAAACAGAAAAAACTAGCAGAATACAAGTGGTTGAAAGTGTGTGTATGGGGAGGACAAGTTCTGTAAAGCTTTTTTTTAAGGTTTCAAGTTTGTTAAAGGAGGGAAGGCGCTGTCTTTGGGACAGGAATACAGACAGGTGTTCAGATTCATAAAAAGCAAATAAGTGAACTTCCTTATATCAACTATCTGCATTGCTTGCAACTGCAAGCACGGAGACAATATAGCATGCTCTGAAATAACCTCAATTTATCTCAAGTACACACTTGGCACAGAACATAATCAAGCATATAGCTCCTACAGTAATGATAATTTTTTTTTTTTAATGGCTTTGCTACATATGATGCTTGCATTAAAATGAGGATCCCACAAATAAAACACTAAGATAGATTTCGCCCTTGCAGATCCTGGAGTTCTTTCCATGCTGATGTGCTTTACTGGAGGTGGGACTACACACAGTATGTACAAATGGGCCAATAACAATTCCCACAGCAAGAGTGACACTGAATTGGGAACTTGGAAGTCACAGGTTCTATCCAAGGCTCTACCAAAACCCATTGCTGGAAGATACCTGACCCTCTGCATCTGTTCCCCCTTCCAGTTCATACAAACATCATCAAATCATGGAGACATCAGGCTGGAAGGGACCTCCAGAGGTCATCTAGTCCAAGGGTGGGCAAAATACAGCCTGGGGGCCAGATCCGGCCCACCAGGCCATTCTATCCAGCCTGCAGGGCCCCTAAAAAATTAGAAAATTAATATTTATTTGCTTCTAGCTGCCTGTTAAAGATGACAGGAGCCTGGGGTAGTAGGACCCAGAGGAAGCTAGTGGCAGGACCCAGCAGCAAGGTCTACTCAGCCCTTGCCCCACAACCAGAAACCCCTGCCTAGCAGAGGCTTCTGGCCTGGGACCACGGGGCTGTTCCTGCTTCCCTGCACCAGAAAAGGGAAATGAGGCCCTCAACAGTTTGGCAAAACTCAGGAAGCGGCCCTTCGCTCAAAGTAATTGCCTGCCCCTGATCTAGTCCAACCCCCACATCTGCGTGTCTTGTCTAAACAGATTGTAAAGTATTTCAGAGAAGAAACTCTTCTGCCACATTTGTACAGTGTCTGTATTACGGTAGTAGAAGACTGATGTTGTACCCATGATCGTTCAGGAATGATGTGAGAGCCAAGGATTTCTTAGAACGATCACTTTTACTGGACCCACTATGCAGCTGGGATAAAGTGAGACAAGATTTTGAATGTAAGCCATTCTTCCTCAGGTCCTATAAAAGATACTACTCCAAGGGCCTTGCTACGTGTTAATTTTAGGCACTTGCTGGAGCTCTTAACCCAGGACTGTCTGCAAATTAACACCTCAAACCAGTTTTAAGCACTCCTTAGGTGGTTTAAAGTGATGCCACTCCACTCTAGGTTTCTCTCTGATCCATATTCCCTGGCTCCTGTTACATGAATGTGCCGCCACTCTAGGCTACATCTTAGCATACACACCCCACCTGCCCCCCGTCTCCCCTGTTGGCCCAGGTCTGCCCCCCTGCCCTCCCCAGATCCCTGCTCACTGCTCCCCCCACCCTGCTCTGTCTGTCCTGGGGGAGCAAGCAGGCAAGGGTGAACCTGCTGCTCGCTGGGCCAGGCTCAGCCCGCACAAGAGCAGCAATGTGGCAGTTCCCCCTTCCCTGCCTGGTCCTGGGGGCAGGCAGCGCAGGCAGC